AAACCCCAAACCCTACACGCCAAACCCCAAACCCCAAACCCCAAACCCCGAACCCGGAAGCCCAAAAGCGATGCTACAAGGCAGAGCTCCCCCGCCTGCAGGGAGCCCTTGGAATACCAAGGCTCCTCCCGGCATCTTCCCAGCACTCTTACAAAGGAGATTTAGGGTTTCGGGTTTTTTTTTTGTTGAGGGCCTTTAGGGTTTCGGGTTTAGGGTTTAGGATTGAGGATTTCGGGTTTAGGGTCTCGGGCTTGGGGTCTCGAATTTGGGGTCTCGGGTTTAGGGTTTAGAGCCATACTTTGGTTTGTGTGTGTGGTTAAGGGTTTAAGGTTTAGGGTCTAGGGTTTACTGCATGTGCGGGGGAGGAATGCTTCAGAAAATCACGGAAGTAAGCCGCAGGACACGGCATGCCGAAGACCTCGCACAGGCCGTACCAGGCTGCCATTTAAGTTGCAAACTCTGCGTTATAAAGTCGAAGGTCTTGTGCATCCGATGGGAAGAGCATCTATGCACGAACCGTGATAACCTCCGTGGTCTAGTTTATCCGGCGAGAAGAACATCCATGCCCGAACCGTGATAATGACTTGTGCCGTTGTGTACGAAGTAGCATCCTAACATAAGCACCAGTCTGTGCCGACGAAATCCCGAATTTGCGCATGCCATGTCTTTTGGAAGCATGGCAAGACACACACGGACTGAGCGCTTGGGGGTCCTCATGTTCGGGATCCTACTGGGACTATGTAGGGTCGATATTGGACCCCCTGTTTTCGGAAACTCCCATGTAATCTCCTTCAGACTCTCCGTCCAGTGCTGCAGGTACGACTCCACAGGGTCCACCGCGACTACCATGCCCGAATGGTTGAAATATCGGAGCCACAATGACGCGGAGGACCAGTTCCTAGGTGCCGCCGACAGACCCTAGGGTTTACTGCGTGGGGTCTATAGAACAGTGGCCTGCAGAGCTAAGCAAATTAGGGCTTTGGGTCGTATTCTAGCATAGCTACAGAGGAACTAAGGGGGATACTCTTACCAAAAACTCAGACGCCCTATCCCTAAACCCTAAACCCTAAACCCTAAACCCTGAACCCTGAGGCGATCTCCAAGAGGTTCTTCTGACCGGGCCACTGGAGGAGTCCAGCTGCCGGCTGCAAGCCAACTTCCACCAGGATACGCCTTGGGTTCAGGGCTGAGGGTTTAGGGTTTAGGGTTTAGGGTTTAGGGTTGAGGGTTTGGGGTTTAGGGTTTAGGGTTTAGGGTCGAGGGTTTGGGGTTTAGGAGCAGCAGTGGGACCAAAGGAACTGTATTTCACAGGTGCCCGAAAAAAGCCCACACCCCTGAAGCCATGAACCCTTCAACTCCTAGCCAACCCTGAACCCCTAAACCCCCGACTCAAGGAACCCGAAGGTTTGCTGAACCCTCGGAAAGCAGCGGGCAGTCGTCGCTGAGGACCTCTCGCAGCTGTTGAAAGAAGTGCTCCAGGGTCGCGGCAGCCCTTGCTGTGGGAAAGTAGCCTGACTTGGGCAAGAACATGGCAGCGGGAGTAGCAAGACAACCCTTGTAGCATCCTGGCCTAGTGGGCTTTCTTTGACTCCCAGTAGTTTCAATCCACCCGGTTCCAGCTCATCATCGCGGAACCTGACTTCATGGCAGATCGGCATGAGCGACGGCTTTACCGCACGATGCCTGCCGCTCACAAAGCAGGTCCGCACTCGAGAAGCCAGAAATGCCTGGAAAATCGCAGATGCTGCCCAGGTGCGCCCGATTGTCACACGTTGGCCAGTCGTCTGCCTCGAAGGACGCATACAGCAAAGCTCGAGACAAGATCCGGAGACTGGACATCCGAAGCTCCGGCACTCCCCAGGTTGGCGAGAAGCAGCGCCACCAGAGCCAACACCATCCTAGCTCAGCGCGTTCTTGAAGGACTTCTTACGAGGTACGAACTGAGGATCCGACGATCCAGCACATGTGCTGCAAGAAGCACACCATAAGAGCCGGGTGCCGCAGCTACGCTGTTTTACATCTCTCTCCCTGTCTGGTGCCATGAAATGCCATGCATCTGAGTTTCGTGCCAAAGGTTGGGTGACGCTTTCTGCATCGTGCTGTAGCATGCATCTCGTCGTCTTTGAACCATGCAGCTCGGACTAAGCACATCATGAAAACTACAAGTACGAAAAGGGCTGCTGCACAGGCGCTTACGCCCTGGCCCGGCACGGCCTGCAGTGAGCGTAGACGGCCGGCCAGAAGCTCTTTGACTCCTGCGTGCTTGGCCTGCAGCCACAGAAAGCAAAACAGCCCGGGACACCAAGCCGTGACAAACCCAAAAAAGGTTTCGCTCTAGGGTCCTAGTGTTCATCAGGATGTTTCGGGTTTGGGGATGAGGCTTTTTGCGATGCCTCCACCGCAGTGCAAGCAGCTGCTGCGCGGCTCGACCACACGCCTGGCTTCGAAACTCCAGCAACCCTTGGCCAAAGGGAATTTTGGCGGCCGCACTGGGAGCAGGAACGGTCTCCGCCGGCTGCACCTCGAGGGTTTAGGGTTTAGGACTTTTTCACGTGTACACTGTAGATCATAGTCAGATGCATCTACACATGTGCGCGGTCAGGGACAACAGACCTCATGGCAATCGCAATTAGGCTGGCCGAGTGCCTAAACCTTCAACCCTAAACCCTAAAATCCCTAAAACCCTAAACCCAGGAACAATAGCTGCTTTGCCTCTCTGCCGGCTGCTTTTTGCAGAAAGCCATCCTGTGCTTCGCACATGTGGACCCCCGCATTCAACCATGGCACGCACCACAGTCTCCTCCCGCTTAGCAGATTGGCGGAGCACGCTTCTGAGCTGCTGCGACAATGAAGATTCCTCCAGAGCCCAGATGCAAAACTCATGCAAAATCTGCAGGTCAGATCGCCATCATCATGCCCTGGCCTCACAGCTGACACCTGCCAAGCACTGCTGAGTTTAAGGCAGTGGTCGCCGGCAAAACCCTGTTTCGGCCTCCATACCATGCGGGCACTTGTAGCGGGTCAATCGAGAGGGAGGGTACGACCTGCGCGAGTCTGTTGGGAAGAATTTCCTGTATTTCTGATTTGCTGAAACCGCGCTGCACATGGAAAAGCAGCAACGGCATTTTTGGAAAGGACGAGGCACAATCACATTGGCACTCTCCACGTTTCTGGTGAAATATAAAAGCAGAACACATCTGCAAAAACTGCCGAAATTTACATCAACCTTTGCGTCCTCGCAAAGGCATTGGTCTCTGTGCCACAGTCAAGGCCTGTGCAGATCTTCTACGAAGGCAACATCCTTGCTTACCGACCAAATCATTCAACACTGTGAGAGCCAGGGTGCCTGCATCAAGTCCTCGTCGCAGACCTGAAGATTAGACAGTGCCTGGGCCACAGAGCGAACTGGCAGCGTCGAGCTGCGCAGCAGCCTGGGCAAGGTCAGAGGACTTCTGCAGAAGTGTGGCTGAATGCCTGAGTCCCTGACACAGGCAGTAAACATTTCCTGTGCGTGCTTGCAAGAATATGCGCAGCCCCCACATTCCGAAAGTGAAGGCCAAGAAGCAATTTATGTTCTCATCGCGATTACAAGATAATGCTATGCATGAAACTTCCGTCGAAAAACATCAAGGAAGCTGCCGTTGATCACAGAATGCTGGTACTCAGCCGACTCATCCCATCATAGCCCTCTGCCCTTTGGAGTCACTTGCGGCTGTCGGTCGCTTCATGCTTGCATGTGCACTACAGTACTCTCCACTCGCGCCTGCTTATCCTCTGCGAAATGCCGGCGGCCTCGTGGCAGCGGACATCCTCAGGCAAGGCTTCCGATATACTTCTGGAGCTGCAATCCGGCAACACGCAGCTGAGCTGCTCCGAAAGCGGTTACGAGCTTGGCCACAGCTTCAGGCGAAGGACACCTCACAGTGCGAATGTCAAGGCCTGGTATGATCGCACGTCTTTCCTGCCGCCAACAGCCTGGTGGTGGCACCTGAAAACTCGCGCTCCAAGCGTTGGGACCTTGTTTTTGCCAGTGTAAGACCTTTCTTGACAGCTTTGCCAAGACCTGGACCTCTCAGGTCGAGGCAGTGCCAGAAAATACCTCATGAACGCCTGCCGGCTGGTCGTCCCATCCTCCGGATGCACCAAGCCGCACTGGCTGCACTGGGCACAGCCGTCATGACTTCTGCTGACACCAAACTCGAAACGCATTTTTGAAGTGCAGAAGCCTGCATCGTCTTGTACACCTCTGCGAGAGCAGCACCCAAGTTTGCGGCCTCCAACCACAGGCGTGACTTACGAGATGTCTCTCTGCGGTACTGAATAGAACATAGCAAGTCATGTCACCCGCTTTTGCGACTTAAAGCGCAAGCCTCAGAGAGTGACAGATGGTTGAGTCCATCCACCCCGCGCTCTGCACTCAGAATCCACAGCTCGTGAGACACCTTGTGACGGCGACAAAACTACGCTCACTTCGATCCAGCTGCATCAACTGCACAAACCCATCTTGACAAGCCACGGAATTTACAGAGCCACCTCTCGCAAGCGCGTACCTGCCAGCAATAATGCTTGCAGTTCCACACATGTTCTCGAAGCATGAGACAAAGGTCACGCAGTCACAACGAGGTTTTGTGGTGAGACCCGCCCAACGTCTCCTGAGCACGACAGCACTCAGTGGCTGGTCTACATGCTTGCTCGCGAGAGTCGCTCGAGAATTCACGACACATGGCCTTTGAGCAAGTCCAGGAAACGCGAAGACACTGCGTGCAGCAAGCCCATGCCTGGTCATGGGGCTGGGGCAGGTCCGGGGAGTTGCTGCAAGAGAGAGAGAGAGAGACAGAGAGAGAGAGATATACATATATATATATATATATGTATAGATATATGATATATGATTTTTTAGTACGAAGTGGCGCAGCCGATAAACCCCATGCTTTCCTTGAGCCGACCATGGTGAACTGGAACCTTTCGCGGTCCGAGTTGGGTTCTGCAGATGAGGTCAGGGTAGGTTTCCGTTCAGGTTAAGGTTTGGGTCGTAAGGGCCCACACCCTCGTCGATGGAACGTGTGGGGGCCACCTTGTTCTGGGTAAAGATGCGTACGGCGAAGGGCAAGCTTGTGCGCATAGGGGGCAACCTAAAGGAACCCAAAGCAACCCTAAGACCTCAATTTTGCTTGAAGTAGGCCTCCATCCCCTAGCCACACGAGGGCCAAAGCCGGCGAGCCTGAAGGTTGGCTCACTGCCGAAGCCTGGATCAAGCGTTGGGATACCAACAGGGGCTTCCATGGGTCTTAGAGGGTTTTCTTCAGGGTGTTAATCGTGATTTAGGACGAGAAGAGTTTCTGTAACGGCTTGGTTCTTACAGAGCTTCTTACAAGCGTCTCTATACAGAAGTGGCTTCGGGTTAAGAGTCACTGCTTAGGCTTCGGGGCTTCGGGGATGAAGGTCCAGGGCTGAAATGTTTGGGGCTTTTCGGTGGGGTTTGACGGCGAACCTTAATCCAAAACCCTAAACCCTACACCCAAAACCCTACACCCTAAACCCTACACCCTAAACCCTACACCCTAAACCCTAAACCCTAAACCCTAAACGCTTGGCTTTGGCTTGACTTGGCCTTGGTGGCTGCGAAGATGATGAGCGAAGCACTTTGGCCATCACAGGATGTTGCAAGGCGGCTCCTCGGCTGCCCCAAGCTGGGCCAAGGAAGCCCGGAAGTCCACTCTAAGTCGAGAGCGCACGGTCCCAGATCAAGGGAAGAAGGGAACTCTGCAGAAGGCTGACGCGAACCTGGCACTTTCTCGCATGCCTGGTATCATCTTGTACCGACCACTAGAATCGCTCTAGATCGCTACACTGCCACCTGGCGAGCATTGATGTCAGCTTCTTCGAAAGTCAAGCCAGGGCAGCACGGCATAAGCATGTGCTATCATGGCAAGCCTTGCCCAAGCAAGTCTAGAGCAGTTCTTGTTGAGGCAGAGGCCTTTGGATGCAACGCCGAGCTACTCAGCGCTAGGTTGCAGACTGGCGCATGTCGCATTCCGGCGAATGCAGCAGTGCCTCGGACAGGCATCGCAGTGACTTCATACGGTGGAGAACAAAGGCAAGCACTGTGAGGACCTGGCCGGCAGGTTCTCTTGGCAAGCGACGAAATACGGTTCATGCCGAACCGATGCTGACGAGAATGCCTGTCGTCATGTAAGAAAGGGTAGCTAAGCAGCTCATCATCTGTACGTGTCTCACAAGGCGAACGCCCTGCGGCTTCTACCAAGTAGTCATCACGTGCACAGTTAACTACCGTTGAACTGTCGGAGACTGAGGGTTTTCTGCCAGCACACGGCATTCAGCAAACCTTGAATCAAATTGGATTGCTGCTGCAGCTGTGTACGGCACTTCATGCGTGGAAGGGTTTAGTTGGAGCAATGAGCCAAAAGATCGGCTCGTGGGAGCTACATCCGACTGCAAGACTTGTGTTTTCAGTTGTACAACGTGCGCAAGCCCTGAAAGCAGGAGCACCCTGCCCTCTAAGCCGAGCGACATTCAAGGCAACGGAGGCTGTCCGCAGCTGTGTCTCTGCCTGCAGCATCCAAGCTGAAAAGGCTCACTGACGGCACTAGATGTTCGCCTGGCCCCTCACGTCTCCTGGCTCCATTGAACTTGACCTCAAAGCTCTTGACATTGTGATCTGAGCAGCCTTCCTGAACCTGGAACTTCGCGTCTCCAGGGGAAGCACACGCTCAGTAGCTGGTATCCCAACCTCCAGGACATGCGGTTTTCGCCATCTCTCGACATGTCTGGACGGTCTAGTTCCAGCCCCTGACAATCTCATTCTCTCACCCAGAACTCATATGACAATAGGCAAGCGAAAGAAAGGTAAGGGGCTCTGTCGGTGAAACCAGTGAAGGTTTATGACAGATTAGACAGTACAGTTGACATGGCCCCGGGCATGACTACTTCGAAAGCTGAGACTCTTTTGGCTTCGACTCCGGGTCAGGACATCCGGCATCCGCCTGCCACTTTTCTGGCATGCTCAAGCTGGGTGAGAAGTTCCTCTCTGCGGGCCGCCAGCTCGGCCCCTCGCTCTTCCAGCTCGAGGCGTTGCGCCTCGACCACGGAGCTCTGATCCTGAATGGCGAGAGCCTCATGCCGGAGGGCGTCCAGCTGCTCCCTCACGTTCCTCTCCGAGACGAGCTCTGACAGGGATGTCTGCAGAGTCTCCAGGGATCTGATGTGTTGGTTGGAGACCTTTCCGACAGCGCTCTTCAGCGACTGGAAGCTGCTTTCGTCGATTTGGGGCGCCCGGGCGGGCCGGGAAGCCGAGCCGGAGCCCGGCCCGGGCTCGAGACCTCGGAGGCCTCGGAGCTCCGAGGTCTCGGCAGGACCTGCACGGCCCGCGCTGCCCGCGCTGCCTGCACTGAGGCCCAAGTCAGACAAGCCGTCCAGGGCCGAAGGCCTCTGTCGAGGACGACCCTTCGGCAAATCCCCAAGGTCCAGTTGAGTTTGCGGCTCTTCCGGATCGAGAATCGTCTCAGACTCTCCCAACTCCGGAGCGAACATCAGGGGGTCATCCTGGAGCCAGGCGGCCGCATTCCTCCGCTCTCGCGTCTGCGCTCCGAGCTGCTCCAGCTCGGGAAGGCTCGTCTCCCCTTGGAGGCTCGAGCATGCGAGCAAGAAATCCTCCTCCCCGAAGAAGTGGACTTCCTGAAAAGCCGTCATGAAGCGGCCGTGGAACACTTCAGATAAGACCTTTCCGACCGTGCTGGGATCATTCAGATATCTGCCGCAGCCCATCGCAGGCACGACGAGAGTACGGGACCGGATCGCCATGGCCAGCTCGAGGCTGCACGCGATCTTCGCGAAGAGATGCCTTTGATACTCTTCGGCGGAGTCGGGGACATCGCAGGGCTCATCCAGATCCTGGTTGCAGTTGGGCATCGCCATGGTGATCACCGATGCCAAGACCAGGGGGCCCTCCAGGAATGGAAAGCCAGATTCCGGACCGGCCCGAAAGATCTCCACGTTGGGGCTAAGGACGGCCCCATACTCTGGGATGTGAACATCCCAAGACTTGCCACTCACAGGTCTCACATGCTTTGAGGCCCTCACACCATGCTCTGCAGCCATTTTGCTGGCACGGCGGAGAGACATCTGCAAGGTAGATTGCATGCAGAGCATCTCTTCAAATTCAACGGCACCGCCTTCCGCGAAGTTCCCACCGATCTTGTAGGGACTGCCTGCATTTAGTACCGTCACGGAACGCTCTGCCGCCAGGCCAAGGAGGACCTCTGTCAAGGAACAGTCGTCGGGCTCGTGAAACACAAACTCAGTTTCAAAGGTCTGTTCCTGCTGCGTCGTGCCGTCTACATTGAGAACAACATGAGTGCCTTCCAGCGTCTCTGGCAGGTTCACCAAAGGTACGTCTGCTTCGTTGAAGGAGTATCTGCCAAGACGGCAGGCTGCTGCAGTCAGCCTGGCGGCTTCTAGCCGCATGTTGCGGACCTCCTCATCTTGCTGGGGATCTCCAGTATCAAATTCAATCCACTCGTAGCTGCCATCAATAGCTTCGAGGGCACCATCGTTACCAGAAAAGGCACGTCCGATAACAAAGACTTCGCTGACTTCCTCTTCCCCTGGAACAGTTCCTTTGGAACTCAGCTCACGAGCCATTCCATTGCAAGGCTTTATCAGCGGGAGATTTAAATACGATTTCGGTGTTCCGTGCTGTCTCTGAAGCTCGGTGTCAACTCTGGTTAGCTTGGTAGGTTCAGGTTGGACCCAAGCATTGGTGCTGTAGCCAGCAAGCATGCATGTGCTGGCATTCTCTGCGCCGGAGACCCCCTTCAAGTCAGTGCCTGTGGAATAGCTCCACATGTCCGCTCCGCTCCACATCCGAGAGCTTTGAGAATGCCTCCAAAGATCAGAAAAACAAAGCGTGAACTGCCGCCTCAATCCGAGAAGCTGGCATTGGCCAGGTTGGACAGCTCACCAGCACTGAGCCTGCAATATAGCACCAAGGACCCGGAGGACAGATGAAAGGAAAACTCAAGCTCTTCTAAGCTCTTGACTCGACAAGCGATGCACCATCCAGTAGTCTCTTCTCAATTTCCTGCGTGCTACATGCAATTCAAGCGAGAAAGAACCGTTTGAGGCTGGTCCTGAAACAAGCCTTTGTCCGCTCGCTGCGGAATCTGCGCCTTCAGCCCAGCTACCGGCAAGGCGATTTGTTGTGGTGGGGGATCAAAGCCCAATACGTAGGCATGCGCTACCAGGCATAGATCAGATGCCGATATTGCCGCTTCTGCTCCTTGACTCAGGCACGGCTGAAAATCACATGCTTACTACTGGCGGCAAGCCTGCGTGCTGAGCCAGTAGACGCTGGCGAAGCCTGAGCGCAATCTATGTAATCCTGATCCGACACAGCTTTACACTCTGGTACCCTCGCTCTTCGTCGGACAATCGTTGCCGCCGGTTCGTTGTCGATGAAAGCGGTGGTCATCGAAACAAAAAATGCTCTCACACACCCCTTCCACGTGTCGTCGACACTGAGCTCTGATCTAAGGATAGTTTGTAGATGGCTGCAGGGTATGTTGTCGCTTTCCAGGATTTGGAAGTTGGTGGAGTCAGAGATGTTCGTTCCTGTCAGGCCTGATGGGAGGTGTACTTCTGCGGGCTGGGTCCCTAGCTGACGCATCCTCACGTTTCTGGACAAGGGGGAGGGGTCGCCGGTCAAGTCGATGTGCGACGAGAGTTAGTCCGTGTGAATTTAACTCTGCCGCCGGAGGGGGATCGCCACTGGAAAGGACGTCAACAGCGATGCAGAACAGGTCGTGTGAACCCTGTTCCACAATGCCCTTCACAACGAAACGGTCCACTTGGCCGTTGCCTGTTCGTTAGCAACCTGCAGTCGGCTTTCAGCTACACTGCATACGCAAGCACAGACAAACAGAGATAAACAATGATAAACATGCCTGCACAGCGCTTTGTCTTGCCTCTAAGCTCAGGACTCCTTCTGCATCCCCAACAGCAGTTTCAATGCAGGGCCTTTGTTGACCGCACACTGGCCACTTATTGTCTCACAGTTCTCAAACGAGGCTGCAAGGACGGGACCGCATCCTCCAGTCGCCTGGATAAGACCTGGATCGCTGCAACGAGAGCTTCCATTACATGAAGCGACACAGATACGGTATAAGTGGAGATAGAAGTGGTGATGCTCAGACAGATGCTGCCGCTGTGGTGCACCAATCGACACAGGACACGGCCTGAAAGTTCAGAAGAACCTGCGAGTGAACGTCGACTCCACAACACTTGAGACTGCAGGAGCCACAGCAATCCACAGAAAACCGCAAAAGAGCCCAAGCCACTCTGCAAAGCTCGAGTACACAACTTGGCCAGGTCATCCGCGGAGGCCTTGCCTAGTGTGGTGGGATTTTGCGCCCACCCCGGGCCGCCCCGTGTTTGACACGTCTGCTCTTTTCTCGGGCCCCGAGCCCAAGTTAAAGCTCTGGGCCGCGGCAAAGCTCGCAAGCAAAGCCTCGCAGCCGACGGCAGGGCTGCGAGGGAGCACGAAACGCTGCTAAGCCGCCAAGTCCAAGGCATACTCAGGAAAGGACGCCTGCAAAGAGAAGCTTCAAGTTCCCTCCTCCCCAGCTCACAACGAAGTGCCGCGCCTTCTTCGCAGGACGCGCCCCCGGCCTCGCCTGCCATGTGCAACGTCGGAGTCGCCAAGTGCTAAGGGAACCGACCGTTCTGAGCCTTCAGAGCGCCTGTCTGCCTCTTGGGGCCAACAGCGGTGCTCCAACGACGTGGGGCGTTCCGTCTCTTGAGCTCCCAACATGCTTTTTCTCCGATGCTTCCGCCCACTTGTGGGAAGGGATGCCTGAGATCTCTGGGCTACGGCTAAGCGACGCTAAGCGGCTATGGTGGCATCAGAGGGGCATTCTAAGTCTGAGCGGGGGACTGTGGCGACCGTCGCCAGCGTGTTCGAAGCATGTCCGGGTGCAGCCCGAGGAGATGCAGCTGAGGCAGAAAAAGAGCTCCTTTACCTTAAGTCCTGTATGTAAGTCTTGTATCGTACTATATTATTATACATACTATACAAAACCTTACTACAATACTATACCGAGTTATAAAACAGTAGATCATACTTCCTGTACAGTGCTACAAGGATCTACATCCCCTCAAGGCCTGGCATCGCGGCAAGAGAGGCCAAGATCCTCAGCAGCCCTGGGACAAGGGACGCGTCACGTCGATAGTCGGCCTGTCAGATAAACCGGTGCTTCATCACTGGGCCTTCCAAGATCATAGCAGTGCCTTCATGAAGCAGAACAAGACAAGACCAATATCGCTGGGAGTCAGCCGATGCCTTAGCCACCGAACTGAAACAGGGACATAGAAGCACCGAGGCTAAAGAATGAAGCTTGGGAGCGTACTGCTCTGTCTGCACGGCTTCCACGAAAGTGTCCCAGAGCATCGGATCCCAGCGTTTCTCCACACATGCCTCCAAGACTGAGAGAGGTGGGAGAGGTCTGGGCAAACTGTGATGCAGTGCGGTTCTGCTCGTGCTGAAACTCCTTGAGCATTGTTCGGATCAAAGTCGTCGAATCATCCTGTCGATGTCGTCTCAGGATCTTCCCGATGGGGCCTCCCAGGAAAACAAGAGCTGATCGGGAGCGCGACCTGCGGCTCACTAAACCTCGGAGCCTCGAGCTGCACCAACAAGCTGACCTCGCTCCGCCTCACCTTTGCTGCGACAGAGACCGAAGCTGAGCGCGAAGCCCCGTCTGGGCTCACCACGTTCCTGGTAAGCATTAACGAGATCGAATGGAACTTGGTCGAGGATCTCCAAATGCCGCAACCTGCACCAAACTCGGAAACCTACCTCGCGCCAGCAAGAGGCCGGGCCGGGCCTTTCCCCGCGCGTGCGAGGCAGCTGCAAGAGGCCGACGGGAGCTTGAGCCTCTTTAGAAAGGGATGCCAAGGGGGTGGAGTTCCCACATTTGAAGATAAAACGACCTCAGCCGTTCCGGGCCAGCCCTGCCTGGGCTAACTCTGTTCGGGGATCTTTGACCCCGGAGAAGCTGGAGATGCAAGAACCTCGCATCTTCGGCGCCGAGTGTTCCAACGAAGACTGCCGACGCCAGACCACGGGAGTGGCGCGTGACGGATCATTTCATGTCCAGTCCAGCCCCAACTTGCCCAAACCAGACTTTGGGGTTATGAGGTGTAGGATCTAACTTAGGGTTTGTAACTCTGCATCTTTAAGACTCCTGAAGCCGGTCCTTACACCCTCTTGGCCAGCGGCGTGTGCATCGTATCGCCCAAGCCTTGCAGCATGACACCTTCAGCTTGCAGTATGGCTGGCATGCCACAATGCCCACACATGAGGTCGCAGCACTGTTTCTGACAGATGTCCGGGATGTCAGGAACATCCTTTGCTGACCTGAGGAGAGTATATAGAAGGACAGGTCTCAACGACAGCAGAAGCATGACTTCGGCAAAACGGCAGCCTGCAACCAAGGGGGCGGCATGGTGGCCGTCGCTGGGTAGACGGTTTCCAGTTCCGGCCATCGCAAGCGCTCCCGTGTTGGGGACTCAAAGAATATTCTGGCAGGATTATGAAGACAACCATGCACCTCTGCTTTTCTGCTGTTGTCATGGTCGTGCTTACTACAAGCCAGCTGTCATCAGACATGGACATAGGCTGTCCCGAATCATCTGGTGGGCAGAGACCAAAACATCGGGCCGATTGAAGGCACCGCCTCTTCACAGGAACTCCTTCGACAGAAGTCGAGGATGGACCTGCTAGCAAAGTCGGCGAAGACTTCGGCGAATACTTTTCAATGGCATGACAAGAGCCGCCCCGGCGCACACATCTGAATAATCTGGCCCATATCGAAAACGTAGATCCTGAAAGGCATGACACCGTGGAAATGTCAATCACACACAAACGACTGAAATGCATCGTGTTTCGCCGGTCACCCCGCGACTCGTGAATCCAACACTGTACTGTAGGCAACTATCTCGAGGTGTTCGGATGGACCAAGCCAGCTAGACGAAACCAAAAGGTGTGCAGATGTCAGGCAAGTCGTGGGAAGGCTCTCAGAAGCAAACCTTTGGACAAAGCAATCCATGCACAATCGGCACAACACGGCTAGTGCCGCTGTACGGCACTGCCTCGAGGTTCCCCGTGTCGATGTCAGAATCAGATGTAAATCGGAGCTGAACCTGCAGGCTTGGCTACGTCCCATCTCGCATGATCTCTGGAACTCACGGAGCTGAACCTGCATTCCCCCCATTCGCAGGCCCGGAAGCGGATCTTCCGCCTGAAGACAACCAAAAGAGGTCTCAAAAACTCTCTCTCCGTCAGGCGACGGAACCTCTGCTTCGAAAGCTTGCAACGGCCTGCTACAAGAAAACCATGTGTAATCAAAGGACGGGGCTACCGTGCACTGAGGCCGGATCGAAGCGACGATTTTTGCCAAACATGGGTCCAGCCTCAGGCATCGAACTGCAAAACACATCCCATGAATTGACAACGCGCAGGTGAGCCCATTGCACTCTGCCCATCACCCAGCCGCGAACGAGCAACACCTCGAAAGAGTGAATTCCTTCCTTGCTGGCGACACAAATCTTTGCTAGCAACCGCCAGATGCCTGCTGATCAATTTCTGCTTCCTCGACGATGCAGTAATTGTGAAGATCACCTCCGTCAAGGCCGCCAATATGCAGGGCAACTGCACCGAAAATAATGCAGTGGTCATGTTCTTCCACGCTTGCCTCGCGAAATCAAGCCTGGCTCATGGCCTTCATCTTTCTGCTGACCCCGGGCAGATGCAAAAGCAGCAGACAGTGATCTTGGCACCTCGGGGGCTGTATTTTTGTTGGGTTGAAGGTGTCGGGTTCATACATCGGGACTTTGCTTTTCATTCAGACCGGGCGCCGGGGCAAACTCTGAAAGCATTCTTTCAGAACGACATATGCAGGAGGCAACATAACCAGTGATATTCACGCTGGACATTCACCAACTCAATTTAACAGTGCTACAATTCCTGGCATGTGTGCTGGCGCATTGCCGGACAGGCTAGCCTTCTTGTGAGAACACTAGCACTAAGAAATACATGCGCAAATAATTGTATGCCTCGTCTTTTGCCATTCATGGGGCGTCCACATATGAGCCTTTGCTGGCCGAACATGAAATAGCTTGCAAGGCAGCAAGCCTTGTACAAAGATGGGGACGACGTGCAAAAAGCGACCGTGCCGCTCAATGCAGCCGCACGGCCGGCATGCGCCGATGTACTGGCGAAGCAAAAAATGGTCGAGATTTCAGTTTTTGGCTTCGGTTTTCTTTTCGTGAGTTCATTTGCCCCACTCCTTCATTCCAGCGGCCTTGCTACCTGGCACAGGTCAATCTGGCGATTCTCGATGTCGTCCATGTTCTCAAACGTTCTTTTCCTCATCCGCATCCTCATCGAACTGAATATGTACAATTTACTTTCACTGTCGAAAGTTTGTCATCACCATGCTCAGAATCTCCTAGATCATATTCGGCAATGTCTTGTTCCAATGTCACCAACCACATAGTCCACACATCTGATTTCATTGTCGTTCGGTTTCGACTCATCATCTTCATCTTCAACCGCACCGATGTCCTCGTCACACGGACAGCTTTTGTTTTCTGTCATTACCCGCACCATGCAACCACAAACTCGATCTTCAGCTTTTTGTCATCATCTTATATAATCTTATTCGATACTTTCGCAAATTGATGAATCCGATGTTTGCGCCGTGCGTCGCAGCACTCACCGAGTACGTAGTACATGCGAATCTGACTGACTTTTACTCCAAATCCCGACTAAAATTGGATGCTGGGTTCATCCCCACCGAATTCCAATTCAGACTCGCGGTGCTGCTTCCTCAAGCTAAAGTTTGCAATCGTTTAAACAACATAAAAAGCATTTTTATGAACTTTAGAGCTTGAATGTTGCAAGTCATCGGAATCGAGACACACGCTTTCACGCTATGCCGCTGCATCCCAAGGAAAACACGACGAAGTCCAGCCAATGCTCAATTTGTGTCAAGCGTCAACATCCCTCCTGAAGTGACTTTAATCAATCGCATGATCAATGCTTTCATCCACATGGGTCGCATTGGCGCAAAAGCGACATGCTCAAGGCTTAAAATTCTTTACCTTCCACTGTACTAGGGTGGTGCAAACACTTAGTACGCACAAAACAACACACAGCACTTGAGAAACACTGTTTTTGCAACACTATCCATTTCGAGGTGGAGTTCAATGTGCGCAACTTTGCATGGTTGCAAACAAATGCACACTAAAACGGCGGAAAACAAGAGCTTTCAGCCACTGCAGAACCACTTGTACCCTGCCTCCCAAAACACGGTCCCATGTGGAAAGGGTGCCAATATTAAAAGCTCCAAAAAAGGGTCCGAAATCTGGACCCAACTTCGACCTCCCTTTTCACACAGAAAGCTCCCTCTCCAGTGTTAATTTGCAGCAAAACGGTGGAAACAAGCCTCGGAAAAGCTGAAACTTCCTACGCAGATTTTGAGCTAGCAGAAGCTGCTCTTCTGTGGAGGCTCCTTGTCCGCGGCAACGTTTTCAACTGTTTTCAATTTCTTACTGTTCTCCAAAGTCCAAAGATAAACGTAAACGACAGAAACTGTTTTCGGGCACCGAATTCAATTTGCCGGACGCGACCTCTCCAGTGGTACCCTAATCTTTGCTTTGCATAAACTGCGGAGACTCTTGATGCAAGGGCATATTTTTAACGGGTTTTTACGGACTTGTTGATGTCCGCCCAAACCGTCCAAAAAACAGTGGGTCGCTTTATCAAGACGACAACCAACAACAGAAGTTGTATTTTGCTCTTACGGTTCAGATTGCGGAAATCACGTGAGCACAAAGAACGGTGCGAAAATATTGTTTCCGGCGGTTTCTTTTTTATTTCGTGTGAGGCAAGCCTCGTCGACGGCGGTTGCCGCACTCAGTTTTACATCAACCCTTTATCCTTTCTGGTTTTGTGGATTGACATCTTACCCAAAACCATCGCGAAACCTGCCTGGGCTGGTTTCCGGAACTCTTCCTCGATGAAACCTTCGAAGCCTTCGAAGGTCGACAGGTCGAGGAAGCGGGGAAGAGAGGAAGCCGCCGAAGGTGAGAAATCCTTCGAAGGCTTCGAAGGTAAGGACGAAGGCTTCAAAGCCCCTTCAAGTTCTTCGAAGGCTTCGAAGCCTTCGAGGACGAGAACGAGCCCCCTTCCCGTCCGAGCTTTCAAAGGCATCAAAACCTGAAGTTCTTTCCAAACACAACAAGGAGAAAGACACGAGAACGCTCAAAAACGAAGATACAAAAGAGAAAAATGAAACTCCTGGCTTTAAACCTGACATTCTCCAAAAACACTTTAGGAAAGCCACACGAGAACGCTTTTTGACGCGCAAAAACGAAGAAAAAAGAAAGTTCAAGACCTGACGTTTCCAAACACAAAAGAAAAGCTGCACGCTTACGTGGCCAGAAAACCTTTCAATCTGGGCTCCAAAAGATACTTAGAGCCACTAAGTCATCCAACTGATTTGTCTTTGGAGCAGTTAGCCAAGAAGGTTTGGTTTGGTTAAAAGTCTTAGAGAGAATTTTCCGAACTCAGCTCTCTCTTGCATCCAGTTTTTTCAAAACCGCTGATGGCGTAAGTCCTCTCCTCCGATCCGGCCGAATCTCCCTCCAAAACGCAGGCCTGGAGGCTCAAGGCTGGCTTTTAGACCCGAAAGTGCCCGCAAAGTCCATGCAAAATCTTTTTTGGGCTTCTTTGAAGCACTGGATAGGTGGACGGTGGCCGTCGCATGCCTCCATTTTCCAAGCAGCCGCATCCATCGCAATCCAAATGTGAGGAATGAAAGGTCGCTTGCACTGGCTGCCACTCCTCTCGAAACAGAAGCAGTGAGTACGAGTGCTTGTAGTCGTTTCTTGGATGCAGCAAGTGCGACGGTCTTCGAGAATGCTCTTTGCTTCTGTGAAAGCAAAAGTCCCGTTGCAAAGGTTTCGCAGAGGCTTCCAGAGACTTTCGGACGGATTCCGTGCCGTTCAATTTCGACCGCTGGTATCGCTTGAAACCGTGACATTGAGCCTGGTCGGGCAAAGATTCGCTCAGATTTCCATCGCCTTGAAAAGATCAGACACGATTGATATGACTCTTATGCAGAAGCACAGCCTTGACTTCAATGGAGTTTCTGGTCCGACAGCAAGCAGAAGGGAAAATAATAGCAATGTTTAGTCTTCCACTCGATCCCAGTGTGGCCCCATTGCCTTCGGGGAGGGAGACTTAGCCTCCCCTTCAAGCCCCCCCTTAGGACCCCCTTAAGGGGGGAACCTTGAAGTCCCCCCTTAAAGGGGGCTTCAAGAGGGAGCTTCAAGGGGGGCTTAAGGGTGACC